GGGAAGTTACAGACTGATCACAATGCTCTTGCCTCATGCCCCTGCACCACTCAGGGAGAAAGAAGTCAGAAGTGAGGGAGTGAAGTTGAGCCTGAGAAGAAGCCAGAGGGTCTAAGGGGAAGGTGGTTATAGTTTTGTCTGGTTTGTTGTTTTTTGGGGTTTTTTTTGGTTGTTGTTGTTGTTGTTGTTGTTGTTGTTTGGTTGTTTTTTTTTTTTTCCCCTCACCATTCCACTCTGCTTTTAATTGACAGGAAATTAATCTTTCCCAAGTTGAGTCTGTTTTGACCATGATGGTAATTGCTAAGTAATGTCCTTCTCTTTACTCCAACCCATAAGCTTTTCCATCTATTTTCTCACCCTGTTCCATGAAGAAAGCAAAGCAAGAGAATGGGGCAGGCATCTGGCAGCAAGTCAAGGTCAAACCCACCACAGTGGTACAATGAGAGGCCCCTATTTTACCCAGTATATGTTTTACAGTTAATTTTGGCAACTCAGGGCTGTAATCCACTCCACACAGTTTTCAATTCTGTAATTAGTACTGACTGCCAGCCAGTGTCCAGGAAAGAATTTGTCCCAGGATGTCCTTGGTCATGCAGTACTGACACAGTTCACTCATATTAAACTTATTTCAAACTTACCTGAAAAAATTGTCTCTCAAAAAGTATGACAATTCTGTGTAAACACACAACAGCTAAAATAAAAGAATATCTCGAATATGTATTGCACATAGTCTGACGAAGAAAATGTGACCTTCCTTTATTAAGTTTAGGCATGAGCCATGCTCATTTCTACAAATTAATACTGGCTTATACCAGAAGACACTTTATTCCAAAGAGAAGAATGGTACAATGTGCTTCAGGTGTATTTTTTCTTTATTTTCTTAAATAGGTTGAGGTGTCTTCTGTCAGACAATGTTTTGTGTTAATGTGGTTTTGGCAGCTGTGATGATCTTCTTCTGACCTTTTATTTCAGCACATGGTGTTTCCATCTCTCCACCCCCACCCCTCACTTATGCAGAGGCTCAGCTTTCAAGAGTTCATCTGCAAATTGAAGATCACTTTTTTCCCCTATTCAGGTACAAAGCCAGCAGTATGGGGAATCTAGGGCAAGAACAACTCTTAAAATTTACAACAAAAAGAAATGTTACTAGGTATGTTTCCAGAAAAGATAATACAAATTTCTGGATTGTAGCAACTCTTTTTCTTAGAGAAGGCTAAGGTAGTAAGATCACAGTGTCTTTACTGAGAAACCTTCAAGCCTTAGCAGGATTCAAACCTGAGGTTAAGATCCTCTGTCTATCTGAGGTTATTATCTATACTAGAATCTTGCATATTCCTAAAGCTATGTCTGAACTACCATAAGAAACAGATATTTACTTATAAGACACAAAAACTCAGTTAACATTAGAACACGCAAGACCACTGTCTTACTTTCAGGAAAAGGAAACTTTTACTTCCTTAAAACTGGTAAAATTGAGAAGATACAAGAATTAGCAGTAAACATTAGGTTTAAAAAATTCTTTGCAGCCTAAACTTTTGACATAGCATAAAACAAGTCTAACCAATCAGAAATGTTTTGTATTCTTTATGTTTTCCAAGAAAAAGCCTAAAAGCCTGAAGGCAGCTGTCAAATTGCAAATAAGATATTAATACCAGCTTGGAGAAAGCACAAAGACAGCTGTCCTCCTAGTGGAAATATATTTAAGCTGTATTCTCCTTCACCGTAACTATGTAAGTTTAGCCATGCACAAAAAAACTATTCTTGAAACTTTCTCAGTGTTGTTTGTATGCCTTGTTCTCACTGGATTCTTGGTCTTACCATATCTATGAAATACTCCTGTTCAAGCTGATTTCATTCCAACCAATCAAAATTCACAGCAAAATCATTTATGTATTTTAAATTTCCCATATTTGTGACTTGCTTTTTGTTCGCTTTTGTCTATATTTTGTCCCTAAGTTCCACTTTTTCCACTGTTTTAATTTCTCTGTCAGTACTTCCAAAATTGTAAATGACATAAACTTTTTCACTTTTGCTTTACAGCTGCCATACAGTCACATCTGTCAGTGGTCTGTCACATAGGAGGAAGGGAGGGCAGCTTGTGGACTCTGTTATCTTCATATTCCACACTCAAGATTAGAAGAGTGAAAACCAGGTGCAAACCCAATTAAGCCGGTTTTTTTCAGGATCAGTTGACAAAAACTATCCATGAAAGGAACCATAAGTCAAACACTTATGGTCCTTAAAATGTTACAAAGCTGCAATAAACAAATGAGTCTTTGCCTGCATGGTCAGCCAAGGATCACAACCTCCATAATCATGTCAGTCTATGGAGAACTTCACTTTCTATCTGTGCAAGAGTTAGAGAATAAAAGACTTCTTAACTTCAGCTATCTACCTGAAATAACTACATTCAGTAATAACTGTAATGCCTTTTTTTTTTTTAGCTTCTCTCCACAGGAAGTACTTGTTAGAGGTACTTTCTCTTTCAGCACAGTTAGAGGTACTTTCTGTTTCAGCACAGGAAATATTCATCAACTCTGGTTGATGACTGCATCACACACGTCTTTGCATCTTTAGCTGTGTAAGTAACTAGGGCAGGGGGGATGGAAGAGAATCAGAGCAAACATCTGCCCCCAAAGCTTACCCAATGCATTCCCTTAAGAATAGTCAGCGTTCAGCTCTGCTGTTAGTTACTTGTATTGCAATTACAATTCTGCGTGGCATCGCAGGTGGTTTAGCAAGAGAACAAGTACTTAAATTTATGCTCCTATTTATCTAATTTGCAAGACCAACAGGATACAATCACCGCCTGTAATCATAGATCATTACTGATGACACAGCATTACTCTTCATGGGAAAAACTAATAGGAAATCTTGCCCCATCCCCACAGATTTCTCTCTCCTATTACCAGCCTCTGCTGGGTTGAGAGACAAAAAGCCTTTTTGGCATGGTGCTCCACAAAGAACCAGAAGTTCAGCCCTATAAGTAACAGACACACTAGAAGACACCCTGTCCCGCCCAGACCTGTTAAGAAAAAGGGAAGACTGCCAAGAAAGCATGTGGTTATACACTACTTCTCTACACACAGAGTATACATACTATGAAAATTTTCTTGACAACAAATGATGAAGATTTGAGATTTTGCAGTTTATTCCTAAAATAAGCTGTCTGATCCAACTGGTGATAGATGAAGGCAATTCCTCTTTCTTCTGGCAGCTATCTCCTAGCGACAGCCTTGAAGCCCAATCTTCTCATTTTCTTGTCAGTTTCCAGCCTCTTGATCCGTGCAGATGTGGGACCCTTCAGTAGGAGCTCACAACTGGGATGAAGTAAGGACAGGAGAGTCTATTAGATGTGCCTCCAGCTCATGTGCTCTCCAAATCATGCTGCACTCCAGATAATGCTGATGTGCAGGGATTTTAGGGGAATTCTACAAGCACTGTTCAAGCTGCTGCAGGCTGCAGCACTCGGCATTTTTTAATGAGGTACACACTGTCTTTGAACTTTCTATTTCCTTGAAATTAATTTTCTGTTTTCTTTCTAGTACTTTGGCAAAATAATACGAAGCTGCTTGCCCGTAAGCTCCATCTTCATGTTTCACAGCTCTCCCAAATCCCGTGGAGTATGTATCGTTGGACAGATATTTGATGGGAAAAAGCAAACAAGAAATCAGAGTCGTCTTCAGACTCTGTCCAGGCATGTTTTTACTCTTCACCGCTGCAAGTTTCGCGCACGGCTTCCCAGTCAGGCCGGGTCCCTTTCCACCCCATCCTCTCACTTAAAACCCTCATGTGTGCGGAAGGCCAGCTCCGCCGGGTCCCCGCTCATGAACCCCGAGCCCGCTCAGCGCCTTCGCGGTGGCTTTCCCGCTTGCCCCGAGATGGCACCTGGCCACCAGCTCCGGTGGGTGCGTGGCCGTCTGGGGCTATGCCCTGCGGGTGTTTTCTCCTCCTGACTGGGAACAGCGAGAAAGCCCTTTATCGCCTTGACTCGCACAGGAATTGCCCCCGTCCTACGTGGGTTCCAACGCCACCGGCATTACCGGGGGAAGCGTTAAAAAAAAAAAAAAAAAAAAAAAAAAAAGGAAAAAAGGACAAACAAGGGCCATTGCCAAGGCTGCAGGCGGTGGCTCGGTCCCGGTGAAGACGAGGGCGGGGGTGGTGCGGAGAGGCAGGGGCGGGACATGCCGGTGGCCCGCGGAGGGTCGGGTCGGACTAGGGGGTGGATGTGTGGGTGGTGCCGGGAGGGGAGGGGGGCCGCTCGGGGGCGGCCAGGCCAACGTCGGGCCGCGGGCGGGGTCGTGCTGCGACGCCGGGCTCCCTGCGGGTCCCGGGGCTGCTCCGCCCCGGCCCGCCCCGAGCGCGGCCCCGCAGGTGGGCGCTGCCGCCAGACCGGGAACGGCGCGCCCCGGCGCGGGTGGCGGCACTGCCGGGCCGAAGCATCGCTCTTCCCGGGCGCCCTTCCCTGCCCTGCGGAGCGGAGCAGCGCTACTCAGGAGCGGCAGGACCGTCGGGCAGGTGCCGCACTGGAGAGCAGGGAGGCGCGTTTTTTGTGCCTCTCTTCTCTCTCTTCCCTTCCCAACCAAACCTTCCCTTCCCAACCCTTCCCTCCCCTTCTCTCTTTTCTTCCCCTTTCTTTCTTTCTTTCCTTATTCCCTTTTCCCCTCTTCCCTCTTTCCCCGCTTTCCCCCTCCTTTTCTCTCCCTTTATCCCCCTCTCCCCTCTCTACTTTTCTCTTTGCTTGTAACTATTTTTCCTTTTCTCCCCGTTTGCCTTCTACCGTTTTGCTCTGCTTTTTCCTCTCCACACTTCCTTTTTTGCTTGTTTGTTTTGTTTCCCCACTTTCTGTCTATCTTCCCATCCTGCCTTTGCCTCTTCCCTGGGCAGTGCGTGCAGGGGAGCCTGGGGCAGGCTGTTGCCTTCGGAGCGGGGGAGGGGGCGGTGATTGGATATGAAATCCAATATGAAATTCTGTTAGCGAGCACAGAATTCGGGGGTCGTCTGATGCTCGAGGTGTTGCAGTCCTGGGGTTTGGCTTTCCTCCCAACCCCCCCAAACTCACTGAAACTACCTTTTTCTTTTTTTCTTTCTTTCTTTTTTTTTTTTTTCCCCCTCTTCCTTCAGAATTGAGAAACTGTTTGGAAGGTTTAAATAGCTTTCTGTGGCCCAGGTTGGGTGAGAGGACTGTGAAAGAAGCCTGACAGGAGTTTCAGTTATGCTCTGGCACTTTGCCGCCTTTCAGTGTTGCTCCAAAAAGTAGACTTCTTTGTGGGAAAGAGGAGGAGTGGCAGCCGGAGGGAATTGCCATTTTGGAGTCTGCTATTTTAAATTTCATTTTTAATGGAATATGAGGTGGGTGACCACAGAGCTGGCAAGAGTGACAGTCAGAAATGGTAGTGAGACAAGAGGGGACAAATATATCTTTCCTGTCTATTTCAACTTGAAAATCCTTGTGAAAAATAATGCAGTATTTATAGCTCCAGTTGGAGTTCACTTACAGTGGTACATTGCTTTTGAAAGTATGTGTATACAAAAGAAAATACTACTTATATTTTCTCTCCTCACTGATTTTCTACTCTGCCTATAATAAATGTTAGTTATCAGCATAATGTCTTTCCTATGAAATCTGTCTGGGGTAATACTTAATTCCTGAAGCCAGAAGAGCCAAAAGTTACTTAATAAACCCGAATACCTTTGCCAAGTCTGCCTTTTTTTCTAACATAAACCGAATGCAAAGGTGAACATACAAGCTCAAGGTTTACAGTTTATTTGCTGAGAATATGGTCTTCACTGACCAAAATCCTGCTCTTCAAATTTGTTACCATTGTTACCACATCGAAAAGCCCACTGCTGGTTTTATGAAAAGATTTAATTTTTTTTTTTTATAATCTCCTCTCTGTTTTCTTTTGGCTTTCAACATAATTCAGACCTTCTGCACTTACTTTGGTTTATAAGCTCCTGAAACTTGCTCTTGAGAACACCTAACTTTGTCAACCTAAAATTCTGTCTCAGGAATGGTGAAAAAAGGTAGTTCCACAGAAATGTAGCATGCCCAACAGTACAAGTAACTAGTACTATTAGGTTTACTTCACAGCTCCAAGGACACCACTTCTTGCACTGTGAAACATTATTATACACAGGTTAATTGTGGTGCTATTAGAGGAACTTAATAAAACAAACAGAAACCTCATCTGTGATAGGTTATCCCCGAAAGCTCACTGATGATCCTTTATTGCACTGAGGAACACTAAGTGTAGGCATGGGTTTAAAATGCTGGCTTCTACATAGGGCTAAAGAACAACTCAGAATATTTTATATGTTGGGCTTGAAGAGGGATCCAAGTACTCAAAAATTTGACAGCCTCTTCCTTCTGCCACGAGATTTAGTTGTGTTTTTATCAGTTACTTTTCCTGCCAGTGTGTCCCATTCTGAAATACAGTAGTGTCTGAAGGCAGGGATCAGCAAAATTTTGTAGGTGGGTGTGAGGAGTGCAGTGACTGCTCTTGTTTCTGGTGAAATTATAGTTCCTATTTTAGAGTAATGTGAAAAAATAGATAAGCACTTTACTTTGAAGTAGCCAAATTATCTTGATGAACACCGGGCAGTTTTATTGAGTGTTAAATTGGCTGACATTACTTTGAAGATTTTGTGATCTTTTTGTTTTGAGATTCCTGTGTAATTTCAGTGTTAGTTACCTTGAGGTAAAACGTATCTTTTTGTCCATGCTAAGAGTTACAGAACTCTTGAGGTTGGAACTGGTCACTGACTGACTTTGCCATAACATCTTTACTCTTCTTAGTTGAAATTTCTTACTGTTTGCTCTGTCTGTGGGGCCTTTAAGGACAGATGGGAATGCAAATAGTAATCAGGCTTTGAAATGTTCTGCATAAGACTTACTTGATACAGTAGTACAAGAGTGTACTGGAAAGGCTAGTAACTTTTTTTAATTTACAGTTTACACAGAGTGTGTATTCATGGGGTTTTTCTCATTTTTTTAAAAACAAATATTTTACTGTTTTTTTTACTGTCAAGATTCCTGAACTTTGAACATAAGCTCTCCAAAAATAGCCCAAAGGTTTGAATTTATTTTCATCCTTTTTTTTTGTCTCTGGAAAAACAACTATCTACTTTTATCTACTCTCATTGTTTAGCTTCCGTGTAGTGGTGAACATAGCAGTACTAGTCATTTGTGGAGTTTTGTTTAAAAGGGACTAGGAGTGTGTGTGGGATTTTTCCTATAAAAAGGGAACACATTTTTCTCTTTTATTATTTTCTTAGGCAGCTCTGAAAGAAAAGCCCTACTCCTGCAGAGTGCTGTCAATTGCAGACAACTGTATCCACATGAAACCCTGCTGCTGTCTCTGCATGATTTCAAAGTTAAGAGTCCCATAAAGTCTAATGGTAAGCCAACTACTCAGCTTATGGCCAGTTCTCATTTTCACTAAGACTGAAAACTATTTAATGGAACAAACATGAGTTCTTTGATCCAGTTACAGGCATATCTACTTTCAAGATTGTGCTGCTTGATATCGTGGTGAGGCTGAGTAAATGTGACTTTGCTCTGTGTCTGGCAGATCTCTGCTGATAGCACTGTGTCTGTTGAGTCAGTCTTTGTGCTTAGGCATGTTTGTGTTCATGCAAGATGCTTACAGGTTTAAAAATCCTCATCAGAATGAATGTTTTGCTTAACTGAATCGGAATGGAAGCAGGCTAATCGTAATAACTGTGGGATGTGTGGCTTGGAAGCATCCCAGATATGGCTTGGTAAAATTCAAGGGCTTTCCAGCAAATCCACCCTCAGTGGAGGGCCTTATTCTGTAGTTTTGAGGAAAAGGTTTTTGTATCACAGGTGGAGAATTTTTGAATTGGGAAAGAGAACAGCAAAGATCTGGTCAACACCACCTATTGTTCTCAGGGGTAGCTGAAGTTTCCTTATATCTTCCCTTCCTCCAAAGTGAGAACAGAGAGAAATAAATAATTTCTAACTCTCACTCCTCACCCATCAAAATGATTACTTGTCTCCCGGCCCATCCCCACTACCACTTCAGAGGTGGATGTAGTCACTACTGCATTTTCCACTTGGCTTTTCTTCAATACATTTCTGTAAAAATAAATGTCTCATGTTGTCATGCATGGATGTAGGATGTTAGTTCAACTGCCAGGAAGTTTTCAAGTAACTGTTGTAAAGCTATGATTAAAAGCTAATGTGTCTGTGGACATAAAGTAGAGGCCTATGCATAATGTTCATGTTGTGGATCCTCTCTACAGTGCCTTTATGCCAAAAGTCACCAAAGCAACTACAACACAGCAAACATCACCGTCTGCTTCCTCTGGTATTTGTTAGAGGAAGCAGAATAGGAAGAAAAATGAAGGGAACTTTAGTTCAACAGCCCACAAGGCTGAGAGAGTCATGACAGCAGGATGTTGCAGGTAAGCCCACAAGACCTATCAGATCTTCCCTGCTCTTGTTAGAACTGGTTTTGACCTTCTGCCAGCCTCTGCGATGCTTCCTAACTCTAAGGTCTTTCCTGCCTTTTTGCCAGCTTTTGACAAAATGTACAGGCTGTTGAAGTACCCCAGAGTATTTTCTTACCGTGTACCTGCCGCCTTCTGAATTTCTGGTGCTGATACTGGCCCAAGATGTGTTTTAGAGGCTGCAGTGCTTCTGCTGAATCAGTGTTTGAAGTGTTGCATCAATTTTTTTCCACTGATATGAGAGAAGAATGAAATGCCAAAATCAAAACACCACTGCTTTTTCTCTTTTATTCCTATGCCACTAGCCCCTAATGATTTTCATCTTATCAGGACTCGGATCTGTGCACCATTTCACTGCAAGCCCTAACTGCTTTTTTAGAGGAAAAATTTTACTTTGACTGAAAATGTATTGGCAATTCATTCAATACAAAAAAATATTTAGTTTACTATTTCACTCTGCTCTCTATATTGCTTCAGGCAGGACAGAGGAGGATGATGTGTTTTAGGTGAGCTGGCATGAGGGAGGCCCTGGAGTGCCAGGAATCCAGTTTTCCAAATACTTGTGCCATAACTTAGGAAAAGTGAATAGCCAAGAGAGTAGTGCCACCCTAGCGTAACACTGGTTGCTGTTGCTTTTCACCTCATTTAGGAAAAGGTCTGTCTCTCATTCCCAGCTCTATCAGTCCAAGTGAGAGCCTACAGCCCAGAGCTTGTGTTTGCAGGACTGTGGCATGGTGAGGGGAGGTTTCCATGGCAACGCAGGGCTGGTGGCTCCCCGTGTCAGGTCTGTCAGGGCCTGGTTAGGAGTGGAGCACAGCGTCCCTGACGTCAGGCACCTCCCTGGCTGAGGCTGGGCTGGATCACCTTGTCACTGTCCATGGCCAGACTGTGGGGGCTGGAGACTAGCCCTGCAGTGGCATCACTGGCATGCAGTGGGATCATAGGGAGCGCAGATGGGGCCGGTTGGAGCTGTCAAGGGCTCTTGTGGTCCTGCCAGCAGCCAGGAGAGCTGATGTTGGAGAGCTCCTCAGAGCCCAGCTGGTTGGATCTGTTGCTGCACCCCTCCTGGCCTGATATGTGGTTGGCAGAGATGGGAGTGGGATTGTTCCTTCCACCAGGAGCACATCATGTCAGACCAGTTGCACTGTGAAACTGCAGCTGAAGGGATCTGCTGTGCTGGTGGCCAAATGCTGGTGTCCACGATGCTGGACTGAGGCTCACATCCTTTGTTAGCGCTGGTGTAGTAGTGCTCTGCTGGCACTGTCCCCGCACAAGCATCCTTGTTCTTAGGACCGGCAGCTCCAGTCCAGCCTGTCTGCCGGAAACCTTCATGTGAACTTTAGTCTCCCTCCAAGTTGTGGTATGATCTTGTAAAAGTTTTTTGTTTGGTTGTTTTTTGGGTGTTTTTTTGGTGGTTTTCTTTTGTTTGTTTGTTTTTTAAACCTAGGTTTCTTGTGGGATTGTATTTGCTTTTAAGGATGGGTGAAGCCAAAGTTATCTAAAATCATATGCTGAGCTGGACTTGGAGGGTGCTGCTCCCTCCTCTCTGTGGCTCCTTTATCATAAATATTCATGTAGTCTACTGCTGACTTATTTCAGTCAGTTCCATGGGGCAGCTAAGTAATTTAGCATGTAGGGTTAGCACAAATTTTTATAGTGACCAGATAAAGACACTGTTACCAAAATAGGCTGTTTTATAGTAGCACCTTTACAGTTGTATAAAAGTTAAATCTGGTTTTAAACCTGGTCTGGTTTTAACCAAACTGCCAGGTGCATAATACTTTTTCACAAAACAAACTTAAGATGCAAATGAGCCAAGTGATATGCTCTCTGACAGAGAAGAGGTGTCAGAAAAGGAGATGCAAATTAGGTATAGTAATCCTTCTTTCCATAAAGTCTGTTTAAATGGCGAACATGAATTTCTATAGAAATCAAATTGAAATTATTTAATCATACTCTACAGTTTGTATACAGCAGTGAAGAATAATTTTGGCAGGAAAGAGGAAAGTGGGCAACTAACTACCCCAACTAGCAGCAAGTGCTGTAAGTTTCCCCCTTTAATGACTACTGCATCAGAAATACAGACTGACTTGAGTAGGAGGCAGTAAAAAAAAGGAAGTGGGTCAGGTAACTTCTGCAGCTGAACTTCAGTTGAGAGCAAGATGACGGTTGCCAAATAAAGCTGTTTCTTTGTGGCTGCACAAACCTCTCTTGGCTCTCCCACAGTGCAAAGTGCTGCCTCTGATGGTATTCTCGAGGGTGGACACTAAAGCTACGCAGAGCTAAAGAAAAAGATGTTAAAAGCTTTACTGAATGCAGTCTGAAGCTATATTGATGAGTATTCTAGGCTTGTTAAGAACATTGTGTGTATTATTAGATGAAAGGTACTAAATCTTACCCTGTAAAGGTCAGCTTTTGTGAATGGGATATGATCAAGTTTTAGGACTTAAAAACTGCATGTGGAAACAAATAGTAACTTACTGTCAAAATTCGTCAGAGAAGTCAGTGTGTCAGTGAAAAAAAATTTGACTGTGGGAGAAAAATCTCCACATAAAGATAAGAGCCACATTAATGTGTAAATATTTGCAGATCTCTCATTTTGGTATAATAAAAATGCAGGGTCTTATTATTCTGAGCTCATAACAACAGAGGAATTGGACCTAGCTGGGTATACAAGGCCTTTCTGAAAGAGAGGCTTTATCCTGATTTCAACTAAGTTTTATTCTGAAACTGGAGCAGAAAAGACTTCTTGGAAAGCTTTATTCTTTGAAAATTTTAGAAGCTGAAGACTGCAATGGTCACGTTCAATTAAGACTCTTTCCCTGCATTGTAAAAACAGTGAGGAGGTAGTAATCTTCTTGAGCGTCACTCTTCAATGATAGTGGTCCTCTAAAAACTAAGAATAAAAATGGTAGTGCTAATAGCTTAAAGAAAGTATTCCAACTTCTGTCACCAAAAGTGTCACAAATCTAAGTGTATTTGAAGTACAGTTTAAGTTCTAACAAAGTCTTAACTTTTAAGTTGTTAGGCAGAGAACAGTAATAGACACTATCACATACATAGCTTGTATCCTTCCTTTGTTAATTTAATATGTGATGAATATTATTTTTATTGGATCAGATCTACCAGTCAAAACTAGTAGGACGTCAAGTAAGCAAGTGTGTGATGAAGTTATAAAACATGTTAAAACTTGTTCTGACCTACATCATTGTGTTTGATGTCACATTGCAAACTGAAAGCTGGAATTGTGGAATTTTCCTTTTAAAAATTTTTTTTAATTCAGAGTGTGAGACCTGATTCTTAAAATGTACGTCTCTATGTTTTCAGCTGTAATTGCATGCTAGCTCACCTGGCTACTTGTCTTAAGGGTTAAAATTTAAATTTTCTTCCATTTTGACTTCACTATACACCTAAAACAGACCAGAAACAAATGTCTACCTTCCTTAAGATAAATTAGAAATGCATGATAAAATAATTACAATTGTAACTCTGAAAACAAAGTACACTTCACAGTAGTTAAGATGTTTATATAATGCTGTTAGTCACAAATTCATGTCTACTTTGTAGTCTCTGCTTGCTGTCGGCTTGAGGTACAAAATGCTTGATTATAGTACTTAAAATACTGCTGATCCTCATGACCATGCTAGACATTTGTGCAGTGATCTGCACCTTCCCCCCGTCTTCTACACATGTGTCAGCTCACTCAGTTGGCAGTGCTGTGGGCAAGGTGGTGTACCCCATGTGTAGTGCATCCCAGTGGCAGCAAAAAACTCTGATACCAGGCCACAATTTCTTAAATTTACCTATTCTGAGAAGTGCAAGTAGCAGGTTAAAAGCCACAGTTTATGAATTGAAAACTAAAATGACACTGGGGTAGCTTAAAGAAAAGAGGGCCAAAAAAAGAAAGGAAATTCATATGCTGAACAGTGGATACAGTACATGCTTCTTTTTCTTAAAGTTTCTTACCAGTTTTTCTGAGTAGCTGTTATTCTTAGAGCTGTTCAGAAAGTTATTCAGAAGCACTATTTTTTTTCTTGAAAGTAGCAAAAATTTAAGGAGCTTTATATCTCAAATACTTGACATTTCCTTAACTTAAAGAACCAAATTTTGGAAGACATTATTTGAAAACTGTATGGGCTTTTGCCCATACAGGTTGAAATTCAAACCTGCACTAAATTATTAGGCAGTGAATTTGTGAGCAGAAATGCACTTGAGTAACAGTGTAAGTTGTTTAAGGATCCTGTTCTTGATATTCAGGTAAATATCAATCTACCTGCTTAAGGTACTACTCAGAAAAAAAAAAGATACCCAGTTCTGTAATACAGTTTAGACTGCAGTTTTCTCAACAGGTACAGCTATAGCAGCTGCATAACTATGCAGTGATCCCTTCACAGAATATCTGAAACAGAAGAAAGCTGCTTAAGGGGAAACAAAGCTAACAAGCAAAAATGATGTAGTGCCTGTGAAGGAAAGATGAAAATAAAATTGTCATACTAGAAATCTCACTGCTACTCAAACTTGCAGCACATCTCCACATAAAAACAAGTGTTTTTAAACAATGGTAATACAGCACTGCTGTGCTCTTACATTTGTAGTGACTTCACACAAGTTAGCTTGAGATATAGGTGATAAGTACTGTCTTTTACCTTAAAAAGGTATTTCAGCAATTCAGTAACAGTTGTTCTCCCAACTCTGAAAACTGAGGTTCTCTGCTATATTAATTCCCCCCCTCCTTCTCATCAGCTGTTCCCTCGTAGAATTTCTAAGCTCATGCACAAAACATTGAAGACACTGTACCTCACATAAAAATGTTGGAAGGCTTTAGGATCTTCTTTGCCTTTATTGCCTTCCTTTATTATAAGACATAAAGCATGACTGTCATCCAGGAAGTGGTAAGTTTTAATGATAATGTCAATGTCAATTTTAATGATAATGTCAATGTCAACAATGAAGTGGGTATAAAACATTCTTGTCGAACTCTGAAGCATGAATTAACAAGAAATAATTGCTTCTTAGTAATGTGTCTGACTTTCATTTTGTTAGATGCAGCTGAATCACTTCTGTTTTCTTACTGAACTTCGGTTTGTAGTCTTCGTACTGTGGAAATAGGATTTAAAAAAAAAACTATCTGCTTCTCCCAGTCTTCTTCTAGAAAAATAAACTAATTTTATTTATTAATTTCTGATTTTCAGCAGAATATTTCTGGATGAACTATTCATATTTTTACTGTCACTAAATAACAATGTGATTATTAATTACTATTTTTTTAAGAAAACTTTTAGTCTTTGAATGACATAATTTTTTTTTTTTTTTTTTTTTTTTAGGATTTTTCCTTCCATTTCCATGACAAACTTGCCAAATTCCTGAGAAACACAAACTTGTTTCTGAAGTTGTTGATGCTGATATGAGCAGAAGGGAGGAGTTTTTTTTTTTTTTTTCTTTTTTTTTAGCTCTGTGAAGCTACCTGGTATTTGAAATGCTGAAGAGGAAATTACGGTTTTGTTATAACTTGCGCTTTAGGCTTTTCTTGGGTCTAACTCTTATTTTAGTAATCATTTCAGTTTTAAAAGTTAACCAGAAAGAAGACTTCTTAAATCGGAGAGATCTAGAGCTAACAAAAGAAGATCCTGTTAGCAATGTTAACTGCACCAAGATTATTGAGGGGGATATAGAAGAAATACAAAAGGTAAAGCTTGAGACATTGTCAGTGTCATTTAAGAAACGCCCCAGGCTAACAACAAATGATTATATTAACATGACGGCAGACTGTGCCTCCTTCACCAAGACGAGGAAATATATTATGGAACCTCTCAGCAATGAAGAAGCAGAATTTCCAATTGCTTACTCAATAGTGGTTTATCACAAAATTGAGATGCTTGATAGACTTCTGAGATCAATCTATGCTCCACAGAATTTTTACTGCATTCATGTAGACAAAAAATCTCCAGGATCTTTTTTCTCTGCTGTGAAGGGAATAGTGTCATGCTTTGATAATGTCTTTATTTCAAGCCAGTTAGAGAGTGTGGTATATGCTTCATGGAGCAGGGTGCAGGCCGACATTAACTGCATGAAAGATCTCTACAGTAGAAGTTCAAACTGGAAATACCTAATAAATCTATGCGGTATGGACTTTCCTATAAAAACCAACCAGGAAATAGTAGAGAAATTAAAAGCCCTTAAAGGTGAAAACAGCTTGGAAACAGAAAAAATGCCTGTTTATAAAGAAGTAAGGTGGAAAAAACACCATGAGATTATTGATGGTAAAATAAAGAACACAGGCACAGACAAACAACTACCACCTCTCAGTACTCCAATTTTTTCTGGTAGTGCCTATTTTGTAGTTAGCAGAAGATTTGTAGAATATGTGTTAGAAAGCAGCAAAATACTTAAGTTCATTGAGTGGGCAAAAGATACTTACAGCCCAGATGAGTACCTGTGGGCAACAATTCAGAGAATTCCTGATGTCCCAGGTGCAGTTTCTTCTAGTGACAAGTATGACGTTTCTGACATGAATGCACTGGCCAGGTTTGTCAAGTGGCAGTACTTCGAAGGCGACGTGTCCAAAGGTGCACCATACCCACCGTGCAGCGGAGTTCACATTCGCTCTGTCTGTGTTTTTGGTGTCGGAGACTTGAACTGGATGCTACGAAACCACCACTTATTTGCTAATAAGTTTGACACTGACATTGACCCTTTTGCAGTGAAATGTCTGGAAGAGTATTTGCGACACAAGGCTTTGTATTTGCAAAAGAAGTGAAATACTGTATGCTCCTGTTACAAAACATAGGTTACAAGTATTGTACTGCAAAGTACTTTGACACGTAACAGTGATGGTGGTGATGCTGATGATGGGTATAATAAACCATGTTGGTGTGGTGCTGCTGATGCCCTCCCTGCCTTGTCCATGGACAAGGGGGAGAACAGACATGTCTCAAGTGAATATGGGGATCCCTTGTGTTGCACGCTCAGAGGCTCAGAGCTTCAGGTGTAAAATCAGAATAGCAACTTTTGGAAAGTCAACTATTTGGAATATTCATTATCTAGAAGGTGTAATTAATAGATTTTCTTTGGCTAAACTGTTTGTTTTAAGACTTGGAAAGTGCATGTTATTCATAGTTACTCATTTTTTCCTCATGAATGCAATGCTAGCTGGAAGACAAAGATGAAGGGTTGAGGGGAAAGGCAGCTGGACTGCACAGACTTCGTACTGAGTACTGAAAGATCTCAGGAATATAACATTAGAAATGATCTGAAAACTATGCAAAAGGGGATATGCAAAGTCAGCTGTCATAATTTAACTTCAGTCTGCTTGCTGCAGTTCTGTTACATGTAATTCTTAGTCCTCTTGAAAATTTTGTCTTTAGCATGGAGTATTAAGGAATTGCATTTAAATTTTTGTAGCCAAATCTTGCTTTTGTACTCTTAAAGGCCTCTGATACTGTGATATAAAGTTTATACACTAGTTTGTAATTACATCTTCTCAGGGAAATTTCAGTTTTGTGCCTGATGAGATTTAGACTTGTAATTTTACTTCCTATTGTACCGAGAGTCTTGCTTTTGGATCCAAAATTACTCAAGTTTCTCAAAAACTTAAAAGAACTGCAATAGTGTCTAAACGTAGTGTCTGATGGAACAGCTGGTTTCTGCTTTGTGTCAAGCTCAACTTACATTCCAGATTATTTTGACATTGAGTACAGAAAAATAAAGTTATTTTTCTAAATGATATTGCCTCTTCCCACCATTGAAGAACCTCTAAAAGCACCACCAAAAAATCCTAATGATAAAGACCTAAAATGTTTTTACTGTAGGTTTCCATACAATTGAAGCTGCAGCTGAAGTAAGTCCTACCTTACCTCCATATGGCCATTCATTCATGTGTCTGTGCTTGATTAGGCTTAGTCAGTTTATTTATTTGCATATTTTGGTGAAAGGGAAAGAAAGAAGTTTGTATAATTTTTGTTCCAGTTAGGTCCCTGCTTAGTTTAGCTGCTGCAGTGTGGCACAGAAGCGTGGGGGTGAAATATTGTGAGGGCTGATATTATTTATTTCTATATGAATTCAGCTTTGTCATGCATAGTTACTGCCAGGTGTCTCATTTTACTCCTGAGATGACAGTGGAATTCATTTGAGGCACTACCAAATGGCAAAATAGACCTGAACTCTTGCTGTAATGGTAGCATGTGTTTCTTACAAAGGTGGTTTATGTTTCTCTTACAAAGGTAGTTTGTCACGATGTTTCTTCTAAGGTGTGCCTCAATACTTAGACATTAACAGCATGAACTGCTTGCTGTTCATCATGCAAATAGCTAGGGAGGCAAGCAATTTCATCTGAAGCAGAGCCTATTTTTGCCAACCCCTGCCTTCAAAACCACCTGAAAGCTGTTTAGGGAGACTTCAGAGAGTTTCACATTAACAGGTAATTAAAGCCTGTGAGCTGAGGCAGTTGAGGAAAATTCCCTGTCTTCCCCACCCTTTGGCTTTTCTGCAAGAATGCTCTTGTAGACAGTTAATGCTCTACCACCTTTGCACAAGCTACAAAAAGGTTTAACATTGCTGCATATAGTATTGGGAAGTTCCAAGAAGTTCATGCTATATTTTTAGCAGAAAGGAAGCTGTTTGTTATTAAGAATTTGCATCTAAAGACAAGATTCTGTGAGACCAGAACTGCTAACTCAAGTAGACTGAAAAAACGAGTGATCAGTAATTAAGTGTTCTGTGCATAGGATGGACTGCTGACTCGATTGCTTGGAATCTGCTAGACAGAGCATCAGCCCCTTTACATACCTTTTTCAGCCTGTTTTGTATTTACAGTGAATGTCTGTCTATATCTCTTTTGTTAATGATACTGCTACTATAAATAGTGAAGATGCTGCTTGACTACCTGCTTCAATTGTTACTGTGTAGATAGTCAAGAGAGATCCTGTGTATGCTCAGTGTACCTTCTGTACAGAAGGAAAAATAGGAGAATATTTCTTTTTAATGTACATTTTCTGTAAGTTAAGGAGAAATTTCTTTTTCTTCTGGGGAAAATGAACTACAAAACCCCCTGCCTTCTGAAAACTTAGAAAAGAGGCACCCTGATTTGGTAGAATTTAAATGGTCTAGGAAGACATTTTCTGAAGAGAAAATTTCTTGAGCAAGGTTCGAAATCAGGAACGAAGTGAACACATAGACTTGTGGCAAGATGGATTGAACTTGGAAGCTCAACAGAGCATAGAGCATTAAAAATTAAAACTGATGATGTGTTCAGCTATGGTGCTGCCCAGGGCATTCTAGAGTACCTGCTTTTTCCAGTTCCTGCTTCATGTATCCAGCTTACACCAGCCTTCACACGGTGATCCTGTCATCCTTTGGGCGACAGGAAGGAAACTGTTTTGCATTCTGCCTACTGAATAACCCTTTTTCCTTTCTGTTTTCATTTTTCTGTTTCTGTGTTTTCTGTTTCTGTGTTTTAAAGCTGGTTCAGTTTCTCAGTCCAGCTCACCACCATTGCTGGGAAGCAATGACTAGCCACTGAAACTGTTGAAGTACTATGTGTGCTATTCAAAATCCCCCAACTTGTAATTTAATTTTCCATACCAGATTTTCCCAGAAGAGCTCAGTGCCTTGAAGACACTGCTCTAGCTCAGTCCCCACTTAACACATAAGCATTTTGAGTGGCATTCCTCAAAAAAAAAACCCTAAATTGTGCAAAAGATGAAAAAAAAATTCCGCTAAGCAGAACATTTCAGAATGGGTCTTAAGCAGATGCCACTTGTTAAAATCCGCGTCACATACTGCAAAACAGGATGCTGGAACTTTTTGTGACAGATCTAGCTATACTTTTAAAAATTAATTTCCTTTGGATTTAGGAACCTAGGCCTACTGGGAGATCTAGTCACATATAACTGGTGATTATCTATCCTGTACCATGAAATCATACTAATCTTGCCTACCTTAATTTTTTTTTTAATTATTTTTCAGAGACTTTACCCCCTCATTACCTCATTTAAATAAGTGGTATTTAAGACATCTTTTAGCAGAAAATGTCTAGTTACTAAAATCTTCACTGTCTTTAATGAAATAGTTTGTCTACATCAAACTCCTTTATTTCTCTTCCTTTCAGCCAACTTACCATGCTACACATGGGAATGGGGGGCAGAAGTGGTCATAAGGCTTCAAAGTGTATTTTACCAACTGGTGTGTGATAAGGAAAGTGACAGTTGTGGCTTAGCATGAACAGTTACAAGTGAGTCTTTAGTGTATTTTGGCACTAGATGTGTGAATTGCATTAGTGATGTTGGAAATAGGGATTTTCCAGTGTTGATGTGAAATCAGTTTGAAGTGGAAAACATACTGGAAGAGTACACATCACATATCTGTAGGTAATGCTTATAATCCCATTTAACAGCAGACTGTTGTTACTGAAACGTTGCTTTCACCAGGGAGTTAAACCTTAATTACATCTTTCAACCACTCGATTATTAGGATGATTTTGTAATACCTCATCTACCACCAGGAATTGAAATGCTCTTGACCTTACCTTTGACTTAGTCCCAGCCACCCTTTATGCCTTTTCAAGTTCTGAAAAAAATCAGCAAACCTGTTTTTAACAATATAACAAGCAGTGCTGTTGTAGGTTACCTGCATGGCACGTCTTTGCCAAGCATGCAGAGCAAGGAGATGCTCTTATGAATTAACATATGACACACTTGTAAGCCTTGCATTCAATTCTTGTTGCTACAGGGGCCCCCAGGAACAGAGGGGATTTGCTTTTACATTAGAGCAAACCCAGGTGAACCTACACTAGGGCAGTGAGACCAGGAGCATTTATTCTTTCCTGAGTGCCTGTTGCACCATAGCACTGAGCAGCTGTTGCTGTGAGATATATAAATCCTTAACAGCAATGAAAAAATAAATATCCAGAGTATACAACTATTTTACATCTTTAAGCATTTATAATAGAAGGTAAAATACACGCACCACACATACTTTCCCTTCCTCTCTTTGTCTTCTCACTAAATTAAATTTGAATAGCTGCCATGCCAGTAAACTTGGCAAACAAAATATTTAACTGAGATAATGTCTGCTCCCTAGGGCAACAGACCTCTGAAGAGCTCTTATTCTTTTCAAATGACCAAAACCAGAAGGGCTGAAGAGAAAGTTCATTATGTTTTCACAGTAACTAGTCAAAGCATTTTGCCTTTGCTGCTTTTTAAACTTGTCTGCCTGCTTACATAACTCAGGCACACAGAAGGAGGTCTATTCCTCAGTATCTCTAGTTTCAAGGCTTTCTCCTTCCTTAGAATACATGATTTCTCCCACCCTTGCCTCCTCGGTTCATGTTTTTCTGCCTCCTTTTCTCCTGCCATGAAGAGAGGGCACATCTGAAAGAAACACTAACAGACCTTGCCTTGCCAAACATTACTTCAGGTGGCCAAATTATAAGGAGAAGTGAAGTTTCCATGAAACTATTTTCAGATGGGTTTACAGATCCTACTCATGGCAAGGGTACTGCATTGCTGTTGTCCTGAAGGCTGTCTTCCCCCCATTCCCAGCTTTCCATCTCCAAAGTCCCAGAAATATCTAGAGTGAAAATACAGTGTAAGTCTCCTCTACATAAGCAGAAGAATCCTTTGGTGGATTATCTGAAAATCTTTCTAAAATGATGCAATAATTATATATTCAGATACACGGGGGGGAGGGGCTGGGAAGAGGTTTCCTTCAGCAGCTGAAACCTTTCTAGATATTTTGCAGGACCTAGAGAATGGATCAGATCTTGTATGTAAGGGGTGACTTTGTTTCTCAACTTGGTAACTACTTTTTAGCTTATTTTTTTAGTAAATCCAGCATCTCAAGCCCTTTTAAGAATAATTGCTTGCGCATGTCTGCCTTTCATTTGTCAGAGAACAATTTAAAAGATCCATGGTTTTCTTTTAAATGAAAATTGGTCAGCTGCCACTGTCAAGGTCAGTTGTCATCAGGATTCTTAAAACAAATACTCTGTGAAAGAGGAGTTGTTCCTAAATGACCCTGATCTATCCCATGTAATCTCAGTATTGTTCAGATCTAGCTAAATCAGTATTGAACTACATACTACTAGGGTTTGGAAGTCACATGGCTTTTACCTATGAATGTATCAAAATCTGCTGTCAATATAGAGGCCTTTTGCTCTTCTTGACTTTTGAAGGTTGAATTTTTACTGAAGAGGTACTGAAAGCAGCCTGAAGAACACTCAGAAAGTATTAAATCTGCTAGACTGCAGCTCAGCAGTGTAATCCATGCACTTCAGTTGATTTGCATGAAACTGTGAGAACATGAAACTATTTTCACCAACTAAGCATCTTTCTAGCACTAAAAATGTTCACATATAGAAATTTTTTAAATGACGGAAAATCCTCCACAAGGCTACCTTTCAACATCATAAGATGAATAGACTGGAACAGCCTCTCAAGAAATTAAAAGTATATTAAGAGCAGAAAACACTGGAAAGTGACAGTTGTGGTGGAACAGAATGACAGTCAAGATATCAAAATACATCACATAGCTCTGTCCAAGATGCTATATTCACCAATTGCTTTTCAGCCAGTGGAGGTAAAACAGCATATTTGGACCAGCTGTTTGATGGAGGGCAGTGATTTAGTGACTAAGGCTGAGGTACTTGTTGGCTTTCAAGTCAACATTTCCATGGCCCTGAGACCAGTTGGTCTGTACCTGAGGGTGCTAAGGGAGCTATCTGACATCCTCAAAAGGCTG